GAGGGAAATGCACGGGACTATGGTGGTGGCACAGGGGTGATTTGGTGATGGGAAACCCGCGGGGATTACAATCGAGATGGAAAAAAAAATGTGCAAAATGATGTAAAAATAAACTTTGTAATAAAAAAAAATGGGCTCCCCTTTATGCTAGTTTAAAATTAAGGCATGTTAGAAATATACTGATATCCTCCCGAGAGACTATGGAAAGATCAAAAAGATAATTGTGGAACATGCTGTACAGTTGGGAAATAGATTTCATCCACTTCAGTCTTTTCTAACACTGTCTTTTCAGTAATCCTTTCTGTTTGCCTCATCCCTAGATCTTCTAGTGCTCAGCAACCACCCATATTGTTTTTAGAAATTCAAAATTTTAAACATTTTTAATCTTTCAGTTTAAGCAGGAAACTGAAGATATAATCTATCGGATTTTAAAGAAACTTTAACAGAGCTCCAATTTATAGACATTTGCATGGGGTCAAAGAAACCAGCATGGCTTCTGGAGACTAGCAATAGCAGGATATAGTTAGTTGAAGCTGCCAAAAGAATAAATGAAGATATAGATTTTTCAATAAGAACTGGAGACAAGGAATTTCTATTGCCTGACAGAGGCTCTAGCTTTCAGGTTTGCACCTTAAACCAAAGACTCAGCAAATTATTACCAACTTATTTTTTTATCTTATCGTATTTTATTGTGTAGAAGAACTGGAGTATAGCCCAGAGGTGGAGGGAGGGGCAGAGTGAGAGGATTCACCATGGAGTATGCAGGTGAGACAGGAGAGGTCTTCTGCAACTATGTGGGTCAGCATCCTGTCCAGGGATGGAACTCTGGCCATAGTGTTGTTAGTGCTGAGACTTAAGCCCTCAGCTACCTAGAAGACCCTACCCTGACTTCTTTATTTTGCATTCTGATTTGTTTTCTATTACTGCTTGTTGGGCAAGTCCAACAGAAAATGATAAATGTAGTTTGTAAGGATCAACTACCTAGGACACAGCAGCAGGGGGAAATGGCCAAAATTGGATCTGGATGGGTTGGAGGTAGTGACAAAGTAACCAGCACATAATAACTTCCTTTCAACTAAAATTAAGTGTTTTTCTTTTTCCTTTTTAGTGTTTTTCTATATCACTTAGGTTCTAAAATAGAAAAAAAATTATTTTTTGTCCCTCCCTGTTGGCACAGTGGGCGTAAAAGCACAGCACTATGAAGCTATCTGCAGCCACTGCAGCAAGAGTTTGATCCTCAGCCAGGGAGCAGACCCACATGGCATGACAGCCCTCTTCTGACTCACCCACTGCTCCCTTCATCAGTGTATTTAAGTAGATCTGTCTATTGCTCCCCATTTTGTCTCTGGTGAATCCTCTCGCCACCTGAACCTCTGGCTTATACTTCAGTTCTGTAAGCATAAATAAATAAATCTTTCTTTAATAAAAAAAAAAACAAAGTTTTGTTTTTTTTCAGTACAGCCATATTTTTCATCATAGCATATAGTAAGTTTGCACATGATACACTCATTTTTGTTGACAAAAAAGCAACTTATATGTAGTTCAAAAGAATATAATGAGAACTAATATAGCTAAGTATTTTCTCTTTTATTTGAATATTTCCAAAATATATCTTTCTCCTACATGTTTGAATGGGTTTTTATTTGCATTTTGTAATGACTATGAATTTATTTAAAAGTTATATCTTCTCTTATAATATAACCTATCATTTATTTAAATATCACATAATAGGACCATTTCAGCAAAACTTTTTGAAATGCACTTTTCATTTCCTTTCTTTCCTCAGTATGTGGAAAATTTTCAGAATTTCTTATCGCATGGATAGAGACAAGATAATCTGTCATGATGTTTCTCAAAAATAGCACTTGAATATTTTAGCTTATATACATCATGCTGTTCCTTTTTTGTACTACAATTAACTCCCTCACAGATAATATTCTGGGAATGTGCAATTCATATGTAAGCAGAAATGTGATAGAAGCTTAAATTGAAATAGCAACTGAATTAACTAATCATTTAACTTCCATATTTAAATATCTTTTTCCTAGGTTCAGAATGGTTCGTAGTGGAAAAAATGGTGACCTTCATCTTAAACAAATTGCATATTATAAGCGGACTGGCGAGTATCATCCAACTACATTGCCAAGCGAGAGAAGTGGCATAAGAAGAGCAGCAAAGAAATTTGTCTTTAGAGGTAAAATTGATGTTCCAAGTTTTGTATAGAATCCAAATAAAGACCTCTTTTTATGTGTTCCTTGGGGAAATCTGAGAATTTCTGGACTGAGTAGTTATTGCTTCACAATTACCAGTTAAATTGGTGATGCCTTCTTTTTAGTCAAAAGCAAAATAAAAATCAAACCGAAGTTAGCTGGAGGTCAGTAAACATGAAAAGGACACTATCATTGGTAGAAAGTGGTATTGTAGGAAAAAAAACAAACACTTAACTATATTTATTTCTATGATTTTCCCCTTTCCACTGCCATTAAATAATCACAGAATTATCTTTAATTTTAGAGCCCAAATCTCCCTGAGTGGATTAAATATTTAAAAGACAGTGTTTCTCTTTTGCTTCCTTCTTCCTACCAGAAGAGAGATTTTGTATTTGCTAAGTTAGAAGTTTGTCAGCAGATAACTAAATGAATGTTGGCTTCATTTTATTATTAAACGGGAGTTTTAATAATAATTTCCATTATTAAAGGGAGTTTTTACCTGTATGTTCATAATCAGTCTTTCCTTAAAGCAGGTTAAGAACATTCTAAGACAATAAATAAATACTTATTCATTTGTCCCTGTTATACCCCTCCCTTAACTGCCTTATATAAGCATGACTGTTACCTCTTAGACTAAAGTGAAGATTCATTCATTCATTTAAATCATTTCTGCCACTAGTGTTTACTGAATTCTTAGTATATACCAATCATAAGTTAAGCTTTGGGAATATGTTGATAAGTAAAATAAAGCTTTAGCCTTCAATTTACTTACCTTCTAATTCAAATAAGGAATGCTCCACTTAGCAGCATGTGCTTACTCATTGCATTGATAGCTTAATCAAATATTTTGGAATTTGAAAAGCTACCTTACCCACAGTGGAAATTTGGTGAGTCTCTCCCTATCTATTTGCACCTCAGATGTAGATTCTTCTCAGGTGTCCTCTAAATGAAAACTGAGAAAAGTAAGGCTTCTAGCTTTACTGTTCAATCTCCTACTCAAATCCAGAAAATTTTAGGAGAGGTAGTTGCTTAGAAAAAAACAGGGAAATACTATTTTAGAAAATTGTGTTCAAGTAGTTTATCTGCACATAATTCATTTGCTAATTTATGACATTTTTATATAATTATTTTTCTATATTGAGTACTCCTGTAGAAAAATAATTGCATACTCTTCATAGTTACTATTGGTTTGGTGAATAAGCTAGCTTTATTTGTGTTGACAACTACAGAAAAATTAGTGCTACTTCTGTATATTTATTAATAGCTGAAGACTTTTCATACTAAATGGTAGCATCATAAAAAAATACTTTGTCATAGAGTTAAAAGTTTTAGAAAACAAAACCCTTATGATTGGAAGAGCAGGCTAAGATTATTTTAAAACTCCATGGATCTCAAGAAATTGCAGTTATTTATTTTATATTATTTATTTCAGAAAAAAAGCTGTATTATGTTGGAAAAGACAGAAAACAAAATCGTTTGGTAATTGTTTCAGAAGAAGAAAAAAAGAAAGTCCTAAGAGAATGCCATGAAAATGACACTGGAGCCCATCATGGCATATCCAGAACACTTACACTAGTGGAATCCAATTATTATTGGACTTCTGTGACCAATGATGTCAAACAGTGGGTATGGCTTATATATAGTTAGAGTATTTTGACTGATGTATAATGATAAATATCGAAACTCATCATTGCTCCAGTCTGGTATTACTTTTCATTAAGTACTTTTTGTATGGGTAGTCTAGTACCAAAACCTTTAAAGGGAATTTTAATTCCCTTCAAAATTCTTTTTGGATATCACTAAAGTATAATTTGAAGTAGAATGAAGCACTATTAAATACCAGGTTCAGATAAAGTTTATGTAGAACCAGATTTTTATTATTAAACTCTTTTGTATAGGCAGAATTTAAATAGGACTGAAATTCTTTTTGTTGTTCTAATTTTTTGTATTTTTATTATATATATATATTTTACATCATCCTTCATTGTTGTGCAGTGTATGCTTTTTCCTCTCAGGTGTAGTCCCCATGAAAATTTCACCACCAAATTTATCCATGCACCCATCACTATAGTCCATTGTGCTCTTTCCACCCATTTTGATCCTCTCATGTAGAATAAAACAGAAATTCTTTTGACTGAATCATTATCTCATTGATGGCAGTCATACAGTCTTTTCTTGAGAGGAGAGTATGTTCATCACATTCATAATACACATATATTTGTAATAGTGAGCCCACTGTGCGTTTTCATTCTGCCTATTTCATCTTTTAATAAAAAATGCGGGCCCTCCCTGGTGGCGCAGCGGGTTAAAGCACTGCACTGAGAAGCTTAAGCCACTTCCACATGAGTTCTATTCCCACCTGCCCCCGGAGGAGACCACATGGCGTGGCAGACCTCTCCTGACCCGCCCGCTGCTCGCCTCAGCAGTGTACTTCGTCGATCTGCCTGTTCTGCACCCCACTCTGTCTCTGGTGAATCCTCTCACCCTCCACATCTCTGGCCTGTACCCCAGTTCTATATGAATAAATAAATAAATCTTTAAAAAAAAAAAAAAATGCCAAGTATGACACACCCCAAACCAACTAAATGCAAAATCCAGTTGTGAAGATAAGGAAATTAACCTCACTTTTGTAATATATGGCCTTTTGAGACCTTTAACATTTAATAGAAACCTCACATAGGAATTCTGGGATTCTTGCTGATAGGTCAGCTGACCCCACTATTTCTAGTGTATTCTATATGGCAAGTAATAGGACGTCCCAGGTATTTATGTGAGTCTCTTTTATAGTTATAAAAGTGAATCAGGAAGACTGTTACTTGAGGTCTAAAGAATTGAACTAAAATTTAACTATTGTTTATGAGTTATCTGCTATGAGCCTATGCAGGTATTCCAAAGACATTGATAATTTTATTTGCCTTTAGAACCTGCCATACATTCCTTTATAAATATTCCAGGAAATCTTTTCATCATTTGAGAATGGATATGATTTTGAGAAACAGTTAGATGTTATTTGTCATGAAAACTAGTGCATATTGGTAATTTTATTTGCTTTTAGGACCTGCTATACATTCCTTTATAAACATTCCAGGAAATCTTTGTCATCATTTCAGAATGGATATGATTTTGGGAAACAGTTAGATGTTATTTGTGATGAATACTAGTGCATAAATGAAAAGTAATTTTTCCCCTCCAACCTCCCCACCATTCATTGTAGTAATATATTTTTTTACAACTAAGAATTACTTTTCTGTGCTATGCCAATTTGTTTTCTTTGGTTATTTCCACAAATAGTTCAAAATACCTAGTACCTTTAATTTTTCTGGTTTATTTCACATACCTCAGAAGCCACCCATTTGTCCCAGAGTTACTATCTTTTTTAATAACTTTTACTCAGGGGTTTGAGTAAATATTCCATAATTTCTGTATCCAGTCATCTGGCTATTCTGAATAAAGCTGTTATGAACATAGGAGTATGTGAATCTTTTCCTATTAAAATTTCCATGTCATTTAGCTGATTGTCAGAGATAGGGTATTTCCATTTTTTATTTTATTGAGGGATCTTATATCCTATTCCAAATAGGCTGCACTAAGTTATTTTCTACCAACAACACATGATTGTTTCTTTTTTTCCCACATCCTTGCCTGCATTTGTTGGGTCTAGTCTTTTTGATATGGGCCATTCTCACAGGGGTAAGATGGGAGCTCATTGTGGAGTTTTGATTTGCATTTCCCTTAAATAAGTAATGTTGAACATCTTTTCATGTGCTTATAGATGCTTGAATGACTTCTTAGTAAAGTGTCTATTCAGATCTTTTGCCCATTTCTTTATTGGATTTTTTTGTTTGTTTTGTTTTTGTTGCTGTAGAGTTGTATGATTTTATGTATTTTTAAACTTTATCCCTAGTTGAATATGCAAATATCTTCTCCTAGTCCATAGATAGCCTTTTTGCTTTTGTGGTTGTTTCTTTCAAAGTGCAAAAAAAGCATTTTAGTTTGAAGTCCCATTTGTTTATTTTTGCTTTTGTTTTCCTTGCCACTGGAGTTGTGTCCCAAATATATCTCTACTGTTGATGTCTAGGAGTATATCACCTCTTTATGTATTTACTGGTTTCAGGTCTTATATTCAAATCTTTAATCCTTCCAAAGTAGCTTTTACATAGTAAAATTAGTTTTAAAATTTTGTTCATGAGTTAGTATGAAAGTAGTTTCCAAATGGTCTTCCAGAAATATCTTGAACAGTGGCACCATCTGTAAATAGATCAATTGATCTATCTTGCTCAAATGAAAGTTCTGATAGTATGAGATTTATTTTTGTTCATTTCCTGAAAATTTTAAACATTGTTTGAATAAGGCTATGCTTTAATTATTGTTGGAATGCATGAATGAATGAACTTAATGGAGTGATAACTTTAAAAAGAATCAGCTCTTGAATTTAGAAATTATTGTGTTTATATATATACAGATTTTAAATCCTAGCAAACTCTTAAAAATCTATTATTGTCTATAAACCAGAATTATGCTCCATCATTATTGAGTAATAATTATTGACTATTAGTAATATGTAATAATTTCCTTACTTTGAATAGAAAATCTCATTCAATTTTGAAAATAGTCCAAAAATTTTTCCTTAAGTTGCAGATATTTACTAACTATTCTAAAGTTCATATTCATAAGATTGCTTTTTATTGTGTGGACTACATTAACATTTTTTGTCTTTTCTTTATTGTATACCTGTTTTTTAGGTATATGCTTGCCAGCATTGCCAAGTTGCAAAAAGTACAGTTGTTCTAACACATAAACAGCACCTTCTCAAGGTGGAGAATCCCTGGAGCATAGTTACTGTTGACCTGATGGGCCCATTTCATGCAAGCAACAAAAGTCATGTATATGCTATAATTATGACAGACTTGTTCACAAAATGGGTTGTGATTTTGCCTTTATCTGATGTTTCAGCATCAGAAATTTCTAAAGCTATTATCAATATAGTTTTCTTATATGGACTTCCTCAGAAAATAGTAATGGACCAAAGAGATGAGTTCATTCATCAGGTAAGACACTGTTACCGGGTTGCCTGTCTGGGTCCTCACCTGTATGCTTAAGATTCAATTGTACTGCAGACACACACAAAGAGGTTCAATAATGGGTTTGTTTACAAGGAGAAAGGTAAAGGAACAATCCAGGGAAAATAAAAAATGAGTTAACTAGAATATCCTACCAGTTCTGCTGATTTGGACTCCAATAGCACACTGAAAACTGATCGAGACACAAACGACCAGTCGAGAACCACCAGACCAAGAGCCCCTCACCCCACATGTCCGGTTTTATCCCAACCTGGCTGCTCAGCTCCGTCCTCACGTGGCAGCGTGCTTCTCCTTGGTATTGATGGGATTTGTAGTTCCAGTATCTGGGGTGGGGGCAGAGTCCATGAAACTTGTATCTGTTAGAATATTACTTAGGTCCAGTAGCATATTTTATATTCCTTTCAGTGCCCAACACAACTGTATTATAAAATGCTTAATAAGTTTAGCTAAATTGCT